CGGGTCGCCGCGCCCGCCTCCGCAACCCCTTCTACCCGCTGACCAAGGAGTCGTACGGCGCCTACGCCGTCATGTGCCTCTCCGTGGTGATCTTCGGCATCGGTATCATGGGCAACATGGCAGTGATGTGCATCGTCTGCCACAACTACTACATGCGGAGCATCTCCAATTCCCTGCTGGCCAACCTGGCTTTCTGGGACTTCCTCATCGTCTTCTTCTGCCTGCCGCTCGTCATCTTCCAGGAGCTCACCAAGAAGTGGCTCCTAGAAGACTTCTCCTGCAAAATCGTCCCGTACATCGAGGTAATGGCGGCGGGTGGGGATGCGCGGACCCGTGCGCCCGCGCGCAGCGCTCCCGTAGCTTCTCCGCCACGTGCGGGGCCGGCGCTGCTCGCACGCGTTACTCCCGGCCCGTGGGCGTCCCGGTGCGGCGCAGTCCGGGTCTCCCGGGCACTCCTGAGGCAGAGCGGGGCCCCGGCCCGGCCCCGCGGTGCCAGGAGGAGGCTCTGGACGGATCGGGTCCAGCAGCATCGGGATTTCTGTAGCTTTGGATTGCGCCGCTCTAGCTCATCCTCCCACTCGCACGAGTTCTGCCAAACCCTCCTTGCTACTTGTGGTCCTGAAAGGCGCAGAATCCTTTCAGAATTAGATTTAAAGGTTTTTTTTGGTTTATGTTTATTTCTATTTTTTTTTCCTAAAGTGAAGTGAGTCAGGATAGCAGCTGGGGAGGGAGTGACCGGGGACAGGTAGTAAGAAGGTGATTGTAAAAAGGACCATCAACAGATGTATATGCTTTCAACTTATACTTCAGCGTTCAAATATCACATTTATTTTGTTTATCTAAATAAATAAATACATTAAATGACCCCAGCTCCACTTAAATGGCAGCAGCTTGGCCGTTCTTCCGAGGCTCTGTCAAAGAAGCTCTCAGCCCTGTGGCCACGGTCCTGCCGGCCGCGTTCAGGGTGTCACTGCTATTTATTTACTGGAACTGAACACTGAGGCTGGTTGGTAGGATGGTAGCCTGTAATTTCGACTGGCTCTACTGTATTCCCAAAACCTTATGTTCAACGCTATTCTTTGACTGAAAGCTGAAGAAATAACTCTGGATTCTCGTGTGTTAAGAATGAGTTACTAGGGAAAAAACAACAGCCAACTAACCAAAAAAACCCTATCAAAAACCAGCAGCCCCTCCGAATAAAACCCAGGTTTTTTTATGAATACACACTACATCAGTTTCAACAACACTTTGGTACATAGTAATACATCATTAACTTAAGAAAGTGTTTAGAAAGACGCGTGAAGTTTAGCTACTAAGTTCTCATTACTTCTTTTTGTATGTGATACACTTTATTACTTGTGGTACTGAACAAAGGGTGGAGCTATGCTACACTTAGGTGAATGCAAGGCCAGTGGTATACCACTACATCTGAAAAATTCAGAGAACACTTAATCACTTTGCATTTAAGAAGACATGAAGGAGTGAAGAATATGTATGTGTTGAGAAACTAACAGTACTATGAGCTTTTCAATTTATTTATTTTTTGCTTCTAGGGCTACAATGTTAACCAATAAAATAATCAGTACTGTTGCAGTTGCAATGTAAGCATTGCAATTAAAGTAGGTAGTGTAGTTTAAATGTTTTCAGGAGTTTCCTGTTGTGACATTTCACACTTCCTAGCCTTTTTTGGTGTATCCACACAGAAAACAGAAATGATTCTTTGTAATGCTAGTTCTAATTAAAGATCAGTAATTGAAATTGTTTGCATAGCTACACTGTTCTTCGAAATCAGTTGCTTATGTTCTGCAGTTTTGGGCACTAGAGCTTTTGTCAGACTGAAAGTAGTTTAGCTGAAATGTAGTTTTTGAAATTACAAACTGTTATCCTGAAAAACATTCAGCTGCTGCTGTCCCCCTGTGGAGGATGTCCCATGTCTGTTCATGACACCCCCCTTTACACTTTAATGACACCATGTTTTTTCACTTTAAAGTTCTTTAGATATATAAATATCTGTAGATATATAAAGTTGAAGTCTTATCCAGGAACTGGTAGTGATGGACCAGTAGTATGACACCTGTCTTAGGCTTAATTATTACTGGAATCTAAAACTGAAATATGCTCCTTCTCCCTAAGGAAATTCAATTAATTTGTATCTAAGGTACAGGTCTAAAAAGATATAGCCTTGAAGTCTGTGTTGCTCCCAGAATTGTATGTTTTTCATTCTGTAGTCATTTAATATAATACTCATATACATAAAGTGTATTCATGCCCCTGGAAGCAGTAAGTAAAATGCTGGATTTCCCCCTCTGTAAACAGCAGCCAGGAGCAGCAAATACTGATACCACTAGTGGATTGTGACTCTCCACAGCTTGCCTGGCAAGAAGGACACTGTCCTGCAAATCAGGATGTGACCTTTCTGTGATGGAGAAGGCAATTAGAGGAAAGTTTTGCCATTTTCCAAGTGTTATTCTGACCTCACAAGTGTTACACAATGACACACCACCAGGAGCAATGCAGATCTGGAGCATTTAATGAAATCTGCCCTGTGAGCAGCTGCTTTTCCATGCTCTGTGAAGGATTGTTCACAATATTGCCCTGATCCACAGCTGAACAACACTGCCCTCTCCCATGTAACTCACCTGGACAGGCTCATCCCTTCTCACACAATGGGAAAAGGTTGAAGTCATCTTACTTTCTTGAGAGGAAAGCTGTAGACAGTTGTCTTCAGGAGAGGTTTCCAGACCTTCATGGAATACAAATAGAAGCATCCTCCTGCAGGTGAACAAACTTTAACTTGTTGCCTCTGTTTTCTGTAAGTTAGCCCAGCATTTTGTTCTTTTAAGAGTCTCTTTGTTCTGTGCTTTTAATCTCTTTTTTGCATGCCAAGACTCCTTATATACTGTTTAGGAAGCTACATATTTCACCCAGAGTTGTAGATCCAGAAATATCCCACTTCTAAGTATCAGAAACCCTATTGGACTGAGCCCTGTGTTGTACCAGCTTGTACTTTTCAAACAAGAGAAAAAGGGGTATCTGATTATCCAGAGCAAGTGATATGGTGATCACAGCATTTAAACATAACTGAGGCATGCTTTGTATTGTGTTAGGGGCTTTGAAGTGATTCCAGTGAGGAACCTTGAGTTTTCTTCATTTAGCCTCTTGTGGCCAATAGTTTTTTATTTGAGCAGTTTAATGGGTATTGTGAAGAATTTCAACAAAGCATCTGTTGCCAGTGATAACACACATGCATATAGTCTGGGGAAAATGTTTTATGGTATCTTCAACCACATTTGTGTAGGTAAATGTTGAGCTTCATGCAGTGGAAGGTGTCCACTGTATTTAATTTAAAGGACAGTCAATTAAGACAATTAAGCAGTCATATCACAGTTTGGTCACTTCTATGTCATGGGTGTGCTTGCATAAGGAATGCTGTGCACATGGCTGAGGAAGGAACTGAGTAAGTTAATCCTTCTGTACTTCTTACAAGGTCTTTAGGTGATGAGAGTAAAACTGCTAGAGAATAAATCTAGAAGGACAGATGGTTAGTAGAAGTGGGTGAAATTATCTCCACCAAGAGCTTCACTTGACCCTGATGGTGACACTATCTTGGAGGAGCTGTTTTGAATGCACTAAGGGAACTGAGAAAGGAAGGAGGACATTGGAGCAACTATGCTGCCTATAAGGAGGTATGGAGATGTGCTTCTCCTTCACAGTTTTAATCCTCTGCTCAACAGTATTAAAAATTCTGTCACTTTTTTTTGCAGATAGTTCAGAAATCTAGCTTAAGGTGTGCATGTCTGAAGTGTTTACCTGCACATTGTGTTTATGTTGTCTTCCATATACTTTTCACAGTGTTGCTCAGAATTTGGAGATACCGGGTAAACAATTACACAAAGATGATGGCTTTGACTCCTGTTCCACAAGCCCTGCCAATGTAGATCCTGTTTTGTTTTGTTTTGTTTAAGCACACCTAGTCTTTTCAGATAAAGGACAAGTGGAAAAAAAAATAAATACAGAGTACAGAACAATATAGTTCCAGTTCCTCTACTTACAGATTTTTGCTATGCCTTAATTCAAAGAAGTGTGGTTGTAGACAAAATCAGTAATTTTACTGTACTTCTAAATATTTCACAGCTGTTAATTATAACAGTCCCATGAAGTAGCATTTTTAGGTTTTTTTTAATGCTGTAGGCCAATAGTGAAGAGGTTAAGTAAGTTGTTTAAGGTCCAAGAAGCTTACTTGAAATGACAAATGGATTGTGTCAACTAGGACCAGAAACTATATTTTGGGCTTTAAATGCAAGCTTGCTTGAGTTGTGTGCATTCTGCTCTTGGAGGTTATGCTGAAAGTTTGATGGGTTTGAGAGAGGTCATTGGAAGTAAACATCACTTGCTGTGTTGGCAGACTGTGACTTACAGTGGAGAAAAGATTTGGAACTGGGGAAGAGTCTAGAAGGAGGGCTTGCAGAGTCTGCTTTACCATCTTGTGTGGTCCAGCACAGAGCAAGAAGTTGCCCAGTCCAGTGATGGTACTCAGTTCCTGCACTCAGTGCTTACAAACGTGAGCACCTCTGCCTTTCATAACTTCTCCAACAAAAAGAAAGACAAGTCTTGTGGTATCTTTGTCTGGACTGTATCATGCATACAAGACTGGCTTGAGTTGGAGCAGACTGATAGTGCAGGCCTCTGAAATCTGGTGCTCAGTCTCTGCGTATGCTTTTGGCAAACAATTTGTGGCATCACTCCTGTTTCTGGTGGGTAACTTCCAGCTCAGGAAAGCTATCACAATTAGTATTGTTAGTGGAAAGCATAAGGATGGATTTGGCCTGGAATGCAAACTACTGTCTTTCCCTGGAGCTGACCCTCCAAGGCAATTTGAAGTGAGTCTTTGTCCCCTTTCTTTTACTTAGTAGAAGCAAATGAGAGGCATAGAGAAAGAGGCCATTCCCTGACTGCTCCAAAGCTGTCAGAAGAGATCTTTATTTTATGTTTCACTTTAGGGAAGCAAATCCATTTTTATGGGATTTTATAAAAGCTGTGTATTATCTATGTATTTTCTGTGTCTTTTGTTATGCAGCATCTTTTTTGTGTCTCTTCTTTGACTGTAGTCAGAGCTAAACTCCTGAACCTCCTGTGAGTCCTCTGGACCACAGACAAGGATTCTGAGAGATTTGCGGTTTCAAAACTTCATACTCAGAGTTTTCTAGGACAATGGCTACATGTGTCTTTTACTGAGCAGAGTATCTCCAGCACTTATCGCACAATAAATAATTATTTAAAACAGAAGTGTTGCTATATCTCT